ATCAGAGTTGAGGCCAGCCTGGTCTACAGCCTTCTGGGACAGCCAGGGATACACAGAGAAGACCCCATCTCAAAAATCAAAAAGGGAAGGAAAAAAAAAAAAAAAGCAGGGCCAAGTATGGTGTCACATGCCTTTAATCTCAGCACTAGAAGCTGAGGCAAGGCAGATGGAGTTCAAGGGTCAGCCTGGTCTACACAGTGAGAAATAAAACAGCCAGAACTGCAACGTGCAACCCTGTTTCAAAGAAGAAATACGTAAATGAGATTCCCTAAGGTTTTCCATCATTTTTTTAGAATGCTAACACTGGTTACAGTTTACAACTGTCACCTGGGTGACAGCCTAAGTAACAGCACACCACAGCTCCCTCCAATCCTGTATAACCTGGCTAGGTACTTACCTCTATAAACTACAGAGAGGGCAGGTGAGGTCAGAAGGCAATATGAATGCACTGAAATTAAGGGATTCTTTTGAAGATTTGGGAAGGTACTCAGTACACTTAAAGAGATCAGCACCCAAACTAACTTCTGGATGGACCTGAAGAGTGTGAGTATGGAATATACTAAGGGAAGAGACCACCAGAACTAATGTCAAACTGAGACATAGAAGGAACTCAGCTTCTGTGGAAAAGCCCCTCATTCCACATTGAAAAGAATGCCTGGAGCTGGAGAATACTCAACACAGAAACACTTCTCTCCACTGAACCTCTAACTCTCTTTCTCAGAACTCCATCCATCTTACATTTCAACTTCAAACTAAAAACATTGGCCTGAAAGCACCAACAAGGGAAATGTGACGGGCCAGCGGTTATTACTAAAGAAATCGTTAGATGTGGAACACATGGAGAGAAAACACTGCTAAATCTGAACCACATGGAGGGCTTTTACAAAGCAAATCTGGAAGGTAAAACTGGACTTGGATATTTTAAAAGACCTCCAATGTCTGAGACAGAAACAAACTCATCTAACCCATAAACCACATTAAAAGGAACTGAAGAGAAAGAAACCAAAGCTACCCCAAGTTTTGGCACTATAGTTCCAAGGAAATAAAGTATGAATCAGGCATGGGCAGGCAAATGTACAGTACTAAGGTGAAGACCCACGAGGAAAAGCTAACTCCAGCCAACTCGACGGGCTGCAACTACTACCAGAGCACTTACTGGTCACCCTCCTACTTCAACAGCTTGAGGAGCAAAATGGGGGAGAGTTAAGTAGAAACAGGCAACTATTATCACCAGAGGGGTGGGGAAAGGAAATCAGTTACTGACAAGAGCAGGGCTGAGACTTACAGGACAGGAGTAACAATCAGCTGTCAGAGGCTGGCTCTTCGGAGGATAGAAAAAAAAAGAAAAAAACAAAACAAAAAAAAAAAAAAAAAAAAAAAAAAAAAAAAACAAAAAAAAAAAAAAAAAAAAAAAAACAAAAAAAAAAAAAAAAAAAAAAAAACAAAAAAAAAAAAAAAAAAAAAAAAACAAAAAAAAAAAAAAAAAAAAAAAAACAAAAAAAAAAAAAAAAAAAAAAAAACAAAAAAAAAAAAAAAAAAAAAAAAAAAAGAAAAAAAAAAACCTGAGGTTTAACTACAAAATGCACCCAAGATTTTGAATTAAAGGGGACTTGTCTCCTGAAGTCATTCTAGAAAAATCTTTCCTCTAATTTGCCTAAAACGACTCTTGGTAACCCAGACAACCACCAGGGCACTTAGGCAGAATGTGGCTCATTGGAAGGCACTTAGAACTTCGGGGCTGAAGGGTAAGGGGAGACAAGAATCAACTGAGCAGTAATGAAACAGTATTACTAGTAGCTTACATTCACTGGGTGCTTTCAGTATGCTAGGCTCTTTCCTAAGGACCTAGATAGGCATTCTAATACTTAATCCTCACAACCTTATGATTAACACGGTCTACGTTCTTAAGATGAGAAAATGTCATGCCTGAAAACAACCTAAATTGGAAGCTTTTTGTACTAGAGTAAAAGCTGAATTGATACCCATTATATATACCAATTTTGCCTAGCAAGAACATGACTGGGAATTAAACTGTAAAATCAGGCCTAGCTTTTACCTTTCTTTCCCCAGCCTCTTAAAGGGGTGAGAATGGAAGGATGGCTCAGTCTTTAAAAGAACTTGCTACTACTCTTGCAGAGGATGCAGGTCTGTGGTTCCAGGCATCCACACAGCATTTCACAACTGTTAGTAATTCCAGTCCCAGTGGATACAATGCACCAGGTACACACATATAGTTTAAAAAGGGGAGGACATATTTTCCCCAAACTACAAGAGAATCCAAAGCCTTTTTAAAAATAAGATACAGAAAAAAAAAAAAAAAAAAAGATACAGGGACCAGGCAGTAGTGTTGCACACCCCATACTCTCAGCACTTGGAAGGAAGAGGCAAGTGGATTTCTGAGGCCAGCCTGATCTACAGAGCGAGTTCTGGAACAGTCAAGGTTATACAAAGAAACCCTGGCTCAAAACAACTAATAATTATTATAAATACAAATACAGAGCCAATTTTAAACACCAAAACTGGGTGATCCATAAGCAAGCCAGTGTTTCAGAAAACAGAACATGGATGGCAGCTTCTATGCCCATTATCATTTATTTCAGAAAGGCCTTGACCCTCATGTCCTAATATGGGCTCAAATGTTTCTACCTCAAGAGCTTTTCAGAAAAGTCTCTGGACCAGAGTCACCTAATCAACTAAACCACAAATTGATTAGGGAACAAAGGTCACAGACATAGAAACAAAGTAAATACTGACTTAAAAAGAAAAACAGCCCCTAGTATTTGATGATTTGGGTCAAATTAGTTTTATTCTGGCCTTCTCTCAATAACCTTAATGTTCCAAAACAAGTAATAATTGTTAACATTGGAGAGGCTGCCCAGTCATGCTGGAATGTATGAGGGAATCCTAAACTAAATGACCATGACAATAACCCAAAATAAGCAAGCTTACAAAGTTATTTTTATTTCTTTGAAAAGAAATAAATCTGGTAACAGGGGAGGGGACTGTTAAATACACGGTTTCTTTGTTATGTTAAAGTAACTCTCCTGAACTAGTCCGGCAAAGCTAAAGTACTAAGGATCTTTAGAATTAGCAGCCCACAACCAGCAAAAAAACTTACTAGCAGTCACAGTTTTGTTACAGACAAGCTCACTATACCAAGTTTTATGGAAGAAATGGTAGGGGTGTGGATATCCCAGGTGATGTCAGCAGCTATGTCTTACAAATTTAGCCAGCTGGGATCAACACTACAGTAATGTAAATTATAAACTTTGACTGGCACAGGAAGTTCAAATAAAATTACATATTCATTCCTCAAAGAATTAACTGGCTATAACTTAATAAAACTTCCTATCAAATATTGTTTACACACCTCCCTCCATTAACTTCACCTTTTTACCCTACGTTGGAGCCATAATCTCAGGTAGTGGCCAAGTCTGGCCTCAAACTTTACACAGCTGAGGATAATCTTGAACTCTTTATTCTTCTGCATCCGTATCCCAAAAAGACAGATTTCAGGTGTGTCACATCCAGTTTATAAAATTAGGAACCAAACGCAGGACGCAGGTTGCATGTTAGGCAAGCACTCTACCAACTGAGCCACATCTCCCAACCACAACTGGTACTAATCTAGAAACGGTACTGATCATTAAAAAAGGAAAAAAAAAAAATGCAAGTTTTAAATAGTGAAAATACATATATAAAGTTTCTTGCCTCTTTCTGCCTTATCCACACAGGTTCAAAAGGCAGACCTAAGAAAATGTTTTGGAATGTTCACTGGTTCCACATGTACTGTAATCAGTTTTAAGATCACTAACCCTTTAATACACATTAATTCATAGCATGCAATATTCCTGGCCTGGAAATATCTTCCACAGGACAGTTTGTTCTCTAGTAAACACAATGCAGTGTTGGCTACTTCTATCCCACATGGAAATTTAATATTTAAAAAAATACTAAAAATCTAATACTACTATAATTGAACTTCAACACACCAAAAGGAAGGTGGGATTACTATCTTCCTTCTAGTATCAAGACATTTTATTTTGTTGCTTTTATTTAATAAACACTTCAAAATGATGGAAACAAGTAAATGATTTATAAAATGTAGATTTCTGAGGATGTTAAAGCATTTTGTGCAGAATAAAATGACCACATAATTTTTAAAATCATGGAAAAACTTCCCTGTATAATTCTTTTGTGTAACAATCTTAAAATCCCCATTTTTGTAAGAATCCCACCTAAATGACTAGGATTAAGGGAAACCTATTAGACCCATCCAGGGAATTGTTCCCTTCACAAGCACCCATGAAAACATCTCTAGCGACACTCGAGAAGCCCACACCATTCTTTCCTTCTTCCTTTTTGAAGACAGTCTCACTGTATATAGGTCTGGGTGTCCTGGTTTGCAAACCAGACTGGCCTTGAACTCAAAGATCCCCTGCTTCTGCCACTGACTCCCAAAGGCTGAATGAAAGGTGTGTGCCACCACACCCCGTGCCCAGTACCACATTCTATGGAATTGTTAATACTGTCTCCTAAGAATAACTTACTTAATATTCCTAAAATGTACTGAAATGAAGCATATGTACATAAACAACACATAAATGTACTAACAGTGTTTTCTTCAAGGTTAAAATCATTATTTGTGATTTAATTTCGACCCGCAGTTGGTGAACAATTTTTAAAAATAAGGTCTTGCAAGGGTTTCCAAACATGGTAGGAAATGAGCAACAACACAGAAATTTGTTTACCAGAAATGAACTAAAGGGAGACTAGGGCCAAGGCATTTCTCAAGATCTTACCAAGTAATTCTGCTACCTAAGTAAATTTGAATCTCAGTCAGTGCCAGCACCAGCAACACTTTAGCACAGTCTGCTGACACTACACAGTAATGTATTTCCTGATGCACGGACACTTGTCATAACAACTAAAAGTTCCTAAGCTATTTTCCACTTAACTACCCCACTGCGATTCTTACAAACCACTAAACACATACTGACCTGAGTTTTTCTTCCTCAAATGGCAATTGAGAAAATGTTTGATACCAAGTAAAAATGCACGGGGACAAGCTCAAATGCTCTTCACCAGGTTTATGAGCCATGAATGACACAGTGCTTAAACACCCGTTAAGGCCTTTGAATTAAAAACATTCCACTCACACTAAACTGCTTTCAACCAATGGGAAAACGAAACTCACTAATCTCTTTACAAAGAACAAGGAAATAAACGGAAAAAAAACCGCAGCGGAATATTAAAAAAAAACCCGAAAATTATAAATAAAAACCTAGCAGACTACTATTAGGAGATTTACGATTACACTGTCTTTTCTCCAAAAGAGGACAACTATTCCAGGAATGGGCTCTAGAAAACACTCTGTAGGGTGTGGTGTGGACCACTACAGGCGAGGCCTGAGGACTGCAAGGATCAAAATCGGTCCGGAAAGAAGCCGCCCACCGGAAAGTCCCGGCCAAAATTCCCTTCCTCTGTCCCGCCCCCGGCACTATGCGAGCCCAGAGGAAGCAGCCGACCGGCGCACGAGGCCACGCGTCACCGCGTTCTCCCGCCCACCGCGACTGACGTCAGGGGGCGGGAACAGACCAGCGGCGCCGCCGTTGACCCTGCTGTTACCAGGCGTGAACACAGCCAATCAGCACCCGCCGCCAGCGCCGGCCGGCCTTTGAACTCGGCACGGCAACTTCCTGCTGTTTGGCGAGTACACAGTGCAATGCAGTATGTCTGTCAGCGCTGCGGCACAAAGGAACAGCCATTTTGTGACTGAGCTGGCCGTGCACCAAGATGCCAGAGCCTCCGAGAGCTGCTCCCTGCGCCAGCTACCGAGCTGCCCCTTAATTCATCACCAGAGTACCAATGGGAACGTGGGGAAAGGGATATTCTGATATTCAGGACTTCGATTCATTTTTCAGCCTTCTTAAAAATCCGATTTTTAAAAGTATTATCAGCGTCATAAAATGGCTGCCACTTAAAACTGCTTATTCCAGTCCACAAGCACTGCAAATGCCGTTTCTAATCATCCCCAGCCTTACAAGGCTAAGGGCTCCTGAAAACGTGAAAATTGTACTCACACCTCCGGATATCAAAATATGGCTCAAAGGCAAACGACTTTGGATATAGATTTAATTTTGAGTTTATAAATGCCGTGTCTTAGAACACAGAAGTGTGTTCACACGGTTCCATGTGCATTTTCTTCCCCCCTAGTTAACACTCGTGGATATAACTTAGGTAAGTATGTGGCATACTTTGTGTCCATCACTAAAACCGTTGTGTTTAGAAATTAGAAATGTAAATTGTTTAAAATTACATTCGAAAAAGTAATTTTTAATCTCCAAAAATCATGATATACAAAGCAAATTAGAATTCAGCATTAACTACAAAAGAATACAAGAATACACTTAATCAGTAGTAAGTTATAGCACTTGTTTTCAAAACAGGGGGAAAAACTTTACTTAAAACTTGTTCTCAAGTGATTCTCATTCTGAAGTTTACTTAACCTGAAGGCAATTCCTTTCCTCCCCTGCAGAATCAGGGTGCAAAAGGTGATTTCAGTGATGTTCCCTGAACACTGTACTTCAAAACTTTAGCCTCCCTTTAGGCAACCTACTGATATCACAGGAACCAGGTAAACAGAGGCAATTCAATTTCAGTTCACCAGAAATAGCCTACTGTACCAAAACAACACAAACATTCTTTAAGCTTTACAATCTTTAAAGGAAGTGATGTCATAACTATGTACATGCATTAATAATGTATATAACTTAAAAGTAACAGTAATTTAAAAGTAACTCCCTCTTTCAGGATTCTAGAATATTTGAACATCCATCAAGTATATGATTTTAAAGTATAATTGGCAAAAGCATTAAAAACATGCTTCTTATTGACAAAAGAAATCAAATGCATGACAATGCCGCAGTCATATCCCAGATAAAAGTAAAAGTTTATTCAAAGGCAGCACTTTGAGATGAGTTAGAGAGCATCGTCTGATCAATGAAACCAGAAACCTGCTTAAGAAAGCCAAAACCCTGGTGAGAATATGCAAATCATATACTCAAGGGAGTAACAACTTTAATACTGGGTCTTTCATAATTGTCAAATATATCTGGAGCTTCCTATACCTTCAAATTATTACTTTCCAGAAAGCTAGTTTTGCATTACAAGTGTTTTTTGTTCTACATATAACTCAATAATTACACAGGCAACTCAAAAGATCCAAAATTGTAACAACTCAATTTGCAAAGGAACTCGAAAATGTGCTTTTAAAAGATTCAAAACTATTTTTAGTCAAAAGCAAAATTCATCATTTGTAATAAAGCATACTCAAAATTTACAAGCTTAATTTAGAAAAAGAATTTTATGCAAAGTTATAAAATAAAATCAAAATTGGGAAAAGATCACATAACCAATCACATCCTTGTTAGCTGCATGATTTAAAAATTATGACATGACAATTCTTAACAGATTCAGAAATGCATGCACATTTTTTAAATAAAGATAAAGATACAGTCATACAACCAAAATATCTTATAGGCTTTATTACTTCAGTCACTGATAAACTACTTCAAGGAATGTGAAACAAATCATTATTTGAACAAACAGTACATTAAAGCTTCAGAAGAGAAAGCATTCCAGATGACTCTGTCAAAATAAATGGATAAATTTAAAGCAGCATCAACTAAAATGTAAAGATAAAATACAATTACCAACCAGAAAGCACTGTCTTAACATAAATACACAAGCATAAACCTTGTAACATTTTAAACAAAATCTGAAATTATATTGTCATAGTAATAATCACAAAGCAAGTGTTAATAGCATTCCAGGATTTTTGCGGTGACAGATTTAATGATTTCAGGAACTTTAAGTAAGGTTTTGTTAAGTCATAAAAATTTTCAAATTTGTGAAGTGTATCAAAAGAAACAATCAAAAATATAAAATGAAAGGCATCAGTCAAAGGGTCCCATTTGTGATTCTGTTTTTAAATGTACATTTTCTCATTCATATAACTTTCTCAAATGTCTATTTACTATAATTTACTACCACAAGGCTCCTCTATGGCCCTCAGTTACAAGTTTGAATATCCCAGATTATTCAAAGAAAAAAATTTGCCTTGTATGTAAAATGGTGCAATGCAGCAATGGCTAAACAGACAAGGTCATTTTTCTGCAGCATGAAAACCTAAAACCTAAAAATTTACTGACAGAAAAACTACAGTTTCTAGGAAAGGCCCCTCCGTACAAAAGTACCTTACCTTCAGAATGCTTTAAGAGGCCTTAAGTCACAACTCAACTTTCATAAATAGCTACCAAAAAATCAGGGTGTGGCATGTTAGCAATCTCAAGGTCACGCTTTAAAAAAAAATCAACCCAAGTTAGAAAATTCTTTCAACACAGACAGCAATCTATGTCTGTCAAAGTAAACAAGTGTAAGCTGAGGTTTCCCCAAAAAAAAAAAAAAAAAAAGTAAGTTGATAGCTCATACCTCGATGCATTGCTGTGTAGCGAACTGTCCTCCTCTTGGCTTTTGTCCTTATTTCTCATCATCTTTTAATTCTTAAATATAAGGGGGAGGGGGAATCTGTGTTTGCTTTGAAGTCCTGTGCCCAGGTATTTACTGTCAAAAGTTGAAAGAAAGGTAAGGTCCCAGCTTCTATGGATGGTTCTTACTATCAGGAACAAAGTCCTGACGATGTTAGCGATATTCATGTAATGCAACAACGGTAAGCACCAAAAAAACAAAAATATTTCTATTTTTTCTTTTTAAAATAAGTGGGGGATAAGCTGAACTGTAGAAGCATCACTATCAATAAGGAAAGTTTCTCAAAGTAACACACTGGATACAAATAACAATCTCTGTATCTTATTGCGTCATCCAGGAATTTCTCATATTTACAATAAATAAAGCCAACTTCAACATAAAAATCTTTCAAATTATCACTAATTATTATGGACTTACCTGATCCATGCAGTATGTCCAAAGCAAGAGTCCTATCTAGTAGTAGAAAAATGCCAGATCCAAAATAATTAAAAATAACGAAAAATCCTCCGTTAAAAAACAAAAAGTAAATGAAATAGTCCTCAAATGTGTTGGCTTGTCAAAAAATAAAGCAATAATTAATACTAAAACAGGTCCGGAAGGGGAAAAAAAAAGCCTCATTAGGAGAGCGCACAAAAATGGAGGTGCGCCATGGCTTCTAAGCTGGAAAAAACAACGACCTGGGCTCTCAATACGGCAGCTTCTTCCAACAAGGCACGAAAAAAAAGCTCCTAAAAGCTGCTTTTCTTCCAAAAAAAGATTCGAATCGACCCCAGTAAGTCACTAGAAGAGGCAGGGGGCTGCGGGGGCCCCCTGAGGCTGCCCGAAAGTTAGGGAAAGTTGCGTAAAGTGAACCGAAGCAGGGAGCAAAGCGCGCTCTCTCTAAGGCACAGCCGCCATCTAGAGCCTCCTTCCCAGCTCTGAGAGCTCTGCCTTTGATTGACACTCTCTACATTTACCCCACAACTCAGGTGATGTACCATAGACCCACCCCTTCATCTCCACCAAAAAAAAAAAGAAAGAAAAAACTAGATCCTCCATCCAAGGGAGCCTTAAGACCCCCAACCCCACACCTCCCTGCCCCTCCAGACCACTCCATAAGGGGGAGGGGGAAGGGCTTCTTAACCCCCTCTGGCTCAAGCACCCTTTTTAAGCCAGAGAGAAATGTAATTTGTTCCTTTTGTTTAAAGATCTGCTAAATATTTCAGTCCTTGAGCTAAAATAACTTCCTCCCTGGACAGGAAGTTGTGTTTTATCAAGCCATTTTGAAATAAGGATAATTTGTAGAGAATCTAAAGCTCATCTTAAGTACAAATCTTTAAAAAAAAATTAACACCCCCATGGGTAAAATGGCTTGCAAATAGAAGCAACATCAACACCATGAATTAAGCTCAACTCTTGCCTTCTTTGTGGTCCCTAAAAACCATCTAAAGATGGTTTAAACAGGGGGAATTTTCCACCCCAACTAAGAAGGAAGGGGTAATTTTCTTACAACTCAAGAGCGCCACCCTAGTGCTCAGCTTTGGTAGAACAAAACTTAGTACAACCACCCCCATCAAAATTCTTTAACCCATTATATAACCTTGGAGACGCCACATACCAAAATATTCTCATACTCATTACACATATATTTCTTAAACTGATTTGGGCAAAATGAGTAACAACAAAATAATAGAATATACACCAACCATGGACACCTTTAAATCAAAAACTCAACTTCAACTCCAAAACCAAATAAACCAGTATAAAACAACTTTTACTCTGATTTCAAATCAAATTCTAAGTATACACTCATATTTCATCAATGACAGGTCACTTACAATAGGCCACATCTAACAGCCCATTTCCAAACTTTTGAAGACAAACTCCCTAAAGATGGAAACACAAGATCTACAGAAACCAACTGCAGACAAGTAACCAACCGCATGTGCCCTAAAAACTCAAAACATTCCTTTACTAAACCCTATAATTGGTCAATACCAAGTCATTCTTATCAATGTGATAATCCATTGTAGATTTACAAACAAAGGCAACCATATTGCTTTTCCATCTAAGTAAATGGAAAATCCATAACCAAGTTTCAACTCTAAAGATATTTTTACATCCAAATAAAAATCCAAAACTCATTTTTCAATTTACACAAAGACCAACCAACTACTTCAACAAACACTGCATGTGTATTAACCATAGATGTATATTTTAAGACATTTTACATTTGTTCTTTGTTCTCTATACTGAGGATACATAATCAATGGTCACTTGATCAACAAAACAAATCCCCATTATTCCTTTAGTTACCAAAACTGTTGCTGAGATCAATAAATGGAAACCTGTCATTTGATTCCAACCATGGGTAATGTAAAGCATGGTGTGATTTATTTAAACTCCCAACTCTACAGAAGGAAAGCAAGATTTTTTTCAAATGCAAATTTTACTAATGTTAAAGATTAAGCCCTTTGGTGTATACCCTTAAGGCCCTACAAACACACATCTAGCATTAGACAACACAAACTCGGTATGACTCAAATATTCAGATGGGCATCTTCAAGGTGTTTTACTTATACTTTAAAAAAATAAGTCAAAGGGACTACTTTCATAAACACAAACTGAGATACTCGATCTTAGTCTGTATAGGCAAGAAGTACTTTGGTTTGTAAATTCATTGTAATCTTATGACACTTTCAAGGTTCCTGTTACCCACTGATTAAAATGCAAGATGTCTTGAGAAGACCCAAACAAATTTAATGAAATTCATTTACGCCTTATAATTGAAAGCATCAACCAAATTGCTTTTTAACCAAAGGGCCATTCCACTAAGCACAGGCACATTGACACAGCTTTGCATGTACACATAAAGCCCAACCAAACCAAACATTCTCCAGTACATTATTCCATTTTACCAGCTTTATTCCATATAGTTTAATGAAAAGCAACTATAAAGGTCAAAATGTTGAGGGGAAATGAACACTGAATGAAAGCTTCCACTTTAAAAAAAAAAAATTAAAAAAGGGCCAAACTGAGAAATCTTTAAGTTTTAAATTTTTTATTGAAGTTAACATTCCATGAGGTCACTCATATCAAAATTGTAAGAAATTCCAGGAATACAAACTACCATTTGAATAAACGTAGCATCATCTTCAGATGTTAAATTGTAGATGATATGTAACAAGTCTTTAGAAAGTAAATCCCACTGTCCATTTGTGTTGGGCAACAATCGTTCATTTCCTGAATCCACATAAAAGAACCCTGTGTTGGTTGTATAATATCACAGCATTCTTGCATTAATCCATTTTCCTCAATTCCCCATAGTGGGCTGCCATCTTGATTTCTCAGTGGTAAGGTCCATTTGAAACTTCAAGCTGACTGGATGCTTCATAAAAAAAATTAGAAAAAAAATTCTGTTGGAATAACAATCATCTTATTTCTTCAAACAGAAAATTCTACCCACCTTGAATATTCTACCATACACAAATCTTTAATTCTGCAAAATCCATTTGCTCAAAAAGCACTATTGTGATAAACTTAAACCTCTCAAAAACAGAATGAATACACATTTTACAGGCTCTGTCAGATACATTTGTATCCATTAAAAATAGAAGTCAAAGGTCAAATTCTTAAAGTCTAACATATATGTAAAGTAAAACCAAAGATTAAAATTCAAAAATGATAGGCTAAATCTACAATTTCAATGCAAAAGTTTTCAAGCTCCTTCAAGGAACACTATAAAAAGAATCTTAAAGGATTAAAAAAAAAGCAGTAAGATCATTTCAAGGCATCCTTTTAGTCTTACAGGTGTTAATTTTGTTTAGATAACACACATGACCTATATAAACATAAACACCTATATAGTTATATATCTGAGAATGTAGAGAATGTGAAGTCACAAGAAAAAAATAACAAAAAAAATTAGAAACATCTGCTTAGATTACTTGGAATTTGCCACAGAAATGCTAATGCTTTTCAATTATAAACAACTAAAGTATATTTTCACTGCCAAAACATCCCATGTTCCTCCTGGAAAAATTAATCTATTATTTAAATAATTTGGACTGGAGGGAGAAATAAGAATTGAAGTGATTTTACTACTAAAGATCTGGATTCATTATCTTTACAGAAGATTGAAAAAGAAAATTTTTTCCAGTTTTTATTATGTGTGCATGTTTTTGTAGGAGGGGAGTGTACATTTAAGTGGGTGTAAGTCCACGGTAGGTCTGAGGCTGATACTGATGTTGGTAATGATGTTGAGAAATCATCTTAAATTTAGAGCTCATCATCTTGCTAGTCAGTTTCCTCTGGGGACCCATCTCCACCTAGAATTACAGAAGGTGGTGGCTGGGCATTTACTTGGATTTGGGGGAGGGGCAATACAAATTCCCAAGCAAGTACTTAAAGGCTGGGCCATTTCCTGGGCCAACAAAGCCATTTTAATCCCTGGTTGTTCTCTGTATGTTCTACAACTTTCCAACTCAATCTGTAGAGTACAGTCAGTGACTTACTGGAGAATAAGAAAAAAATATGAGAAGGTGTTTGCTTCCAGGCTAATTTCCTGTCTCCCTAACTAAAATTAAGGAATGTTCTCTAATACACACTTTACAAAACATACTTAATAAACTAGATAAAAGACAGTGTTGCTCCCTATTAAAAAGTGATTCTTTACAGGAATATTATTACTCCTTTAAAGGTCTGTATCAGCAACAATCATCAGCATCAGCAACAATCATCAAATCAACATACTCCTAACCACTGGGTCATCTCTCCACCCCCAAATCAAGGTATTTTTCTCTAGTAAATTTTAGAAATTTCCCAAACCCTTCCTCTTAAAATAATTCCTTCTATTCCTATGTCAATGAAATACTATCTGCCTTCTTTTCTTAAAATTAAGAAATGGCTGTGTACAGTGGCACATGACTTTACTTCTAGTACTTGGGAGTCAGAGGAGCAGGAGGACTTCTTGAGTCTGAGACCAACCTGATCTACTGGGGAGGAGTCCAGGGTCACCCAAGGCTACATAGTTAGACCCTGTCTCTAAATGAAAAACAGAGTAATTGTAGGGGCTGGAAAGATGGCTCAATGGTTAA